CCCTGAGCTTGCCAGTCAAGCACTTATTCTACTGAGCCATCTCCCTGGTCCCGCCTATGGTTTTTGTATTCAGCATTTTGCGTTTCCCTCTCCGGGTAGCAGCTGCTGACAGGTCTCTGCCTTGGCTTGAAGAGTAGGTGACCTGCGCACGGACCGGGCGGGCACAAGGGAAAGGCTGGCAGCCGAGGGCCGGCTGGAGAGCCGGGAGCTAAGGACACTGGCTGCGCTCGGCCTCGTGCCGCTGCTGTGCGAGCGCGTGGCTCTCCCTGTGGGCTCCAGCGCTTCGCAGCTCCTGTTTATGAACGTCTGTTCATCCAGTGTGCGCCGACCGAAGGCAGAACAGGAAAGGTCGTGAGCAGAGAGGGAGACGCTCCCCCATGTCCCTCCGCCGGTGCCCGCTGCTGCCTTCCGCGTCTCTGGTGCCTCATCTGCTTCGTTTCTTTCTTGTGTGGTTACTCCGATGCATATGCTGTGGAGTTTCCACTCCACCTAGGGTTAGTGATAGTCACCTAATTTGACATCTGATTACTACTTACAGATAGTGCCTGGTTGTGGTTTTAAACTTTTTCTGGTAGGTTGTTGAGATAGTTTCAAAGCTTTTCTGTTGGGTAAGAGTTATTGCCGTTCTTGTGCTTTTGTTCAAACAATAAAGTTGTTCCCTTCCTCCATCCCTCCCTGCCCTGCCGTGCGGGTCCTGGGCGTGCACTACTCAGAGCTGCGTCCCTGGCCCTTTTTATTTAAAGACAAGTCCTCACTAAGTTTTCCAGGCTGGCCTTGAGTGTGCTCTTCTGGCTCCATCTCCTCATTAGCTGGGATTCGGGGCATGTGATATCATGCCTGGCTCTTTCTCTTTTATTTTTTATTTTTGGGGGGCTCATTCTCTCAAATAAATCAACAACAAACTATAGTTTTCTGTAGATAAAGGTAAATAGTACATAAAATTGGCCATTTTTAACCACTAACCTTAGAAATCTGTGGCATTAGCAGATGTAGGTATTGTTGTTTTATTTCTCCTGTTTTAAAATTGATCAAGATGTTATTCCCCCTTCCTTCTCACATTCAAAACGTACTCATCATACAGAAATGACAGGAGTTTAAGGAGTCAGCATGCTAATTACCCGATGTAACTGTTACCCAGTGTGTGCGCGACTCAGACTGCCATGTTGTACCTTATGAAGATGCGCACATACCACGGTCAGTCAGAAAGCAGGGCTAGGCTGTGTCCAGCGGCAGCGCGCGGCGCCTGGCTTCCCCTCCCAGCGCTGCCCAGAGTCGAAGACCTGAAAAGCCGGGTTCGCTGCTGCGGGTGGCGGGCTTCTGCCGTGGCCCTCTTCCTCCTCTGACCTGTGCTTTGGGGAGAAAGCCGGGGAGAGATTTTGCTTTATGGGTATGGAGCCCTGTTGTAAAGGTGATGTTGGTTTTAAATTACAGTAGTCCCTCGAAATTTCACAGTTCAACTTTCACAGACTCACTGTTCTGCCGGCTTTCAAAAAATACTAATCTCAATTATTTATCGCAGATTTTTCGCTATATCACGGGATTTTGCAGTGCCGTACAGTCGTTGTTCAAATTACTTAGGTTTTAGAAGTGTTTTTAAAGTGTGAGAAAGGCTTCTAAGAGTGTGACGAGGGCCTGCCTGGTGACGTGGAAGTGCTCCTCCGGCGTCCCTCCCTTGGTAGAGGGCAGAGCACAGCAGACCTGCTCTGATGCTCAGGAGCACGGTGCGGGGAGACTGAGCAGGGCTGGCATTTCAGGCCGCAAGCCGGGAGCCCAGAGATGAAGATGGCAGTCCTACGCGTGCCACTGTTCTGGGGGTCCCTGCCCACCAGGCTGCCTGCGGCAGTGGTTTGTATGAAGACTCCCTGACTCGGGCCTTGGGGTCACAGGATGCTCCTGCCTGTGTGGTGGGTGAGACAGGCGGGGCCTCTCCAGGCCTTTGCTGCTGTTGATCAGGGACCGTGGCACTGAGCCTCCGTGAGGACGCTGCAGGCTCGCTGGGCAGGAGCCCGCCGTGGACTGAGGCCAGCTATCGGGAGGGAAAGCAAACCTGTACATTTGCATCTAATCAGCTCCAGCTTTTTTGTTGAGCTTGCATAATTGTATAATTATACGCAGGTGCTGAACTGACACCTGGCGTGTGTTGTATTTAAAAATGTAAGGTTCAGCAAACAAATGGTTGGCTTTGTTGTTCATGCCTCAAAGAGAGCTT